CCATTCTGTCAATTATTTTTGCAGTACTTTACCTCATGTCCTGCTCTGGGATGGGGCAATGGGGCAACGTGACTGCAGAATGTGAAGCTGTAATAGCATAACCTTGCCTGAGGAGAAATTGATTTAGACGGGGAGCTTCCACTTTGTGTAGTGCATAATCAACTAGTTGAATTCATTGCTGCAGGCAAACAAATCTTATGACTAGTAGTATAAGAGCTGGAAATTTTCAAATAATACTGCCCTTTATTGTAATTTATTGGGAAAAAAAAATATTACTAACAACTAGACAAACAAGATGCTGATCATTTCCCATTTTACAAGGTACTGCTCACAGTTGAGGGAAAGACAAGCATCTCCCTGTGCTCCTTCTGGCACTGCACAGTTGATCTAGGTTGCTGGTAGTTTAACCACTGAAGGCATAACTTTTGGAAAACAATTCATACTTAGAAAGGAAAACAGAATAACTGGGCATTTATATTACTACCCCTCATGAAATTTCACATTCAGCACACGACACTTTTTGTTTTCTTTCTCTTCAGAATAAAGCATACCAGTCATGTTTGAAGATATTTGATTTGTGGAGATGATTAATGAAGTAAGAAATGGCACATGATAGGTTGCTTCTATGTTTTTACACAGCAAAATATTTAATGACTGAATGTTCAATAATTGGCTAACAGTCATTCAACTGAAACTAAAAAATTGTTTCCTAATAGCTTGTACACAGACCTGATATACCTCTTGCGCACTATGCTTGAAGTACAGTGAACATAGGGCCTGGTTGTTCTTCCAGACCTCTGCGTATTTGCCTGCTAGAAGACAGGCATGGAACAATTAACAACTGTGCTGACACTCTCAGGCATGGTCCCTATGGATCTTCATAGAATCATAGAATCATTTGTGTTGGAAGAGACCTTCAAAGGTCATCTAGTCCAACTCTCCTGTAATGAGAAAGGACATCTATAGCTCGATCAGGTTGCTCAGAGCCCCATCCAGACTGACCTTGACTGTGTCCAGGCATGGACAACCACCACATCTCTGGATAACAGTGCCTCACTGTGCTCTTGAGTAGCTTTTTTCTTATATAGTTTCTTATACAGTCTTCTTCATTTACAAAGGACAACTTCCAGTGAGAGATGAAAGCAATTTTTCGTGTTCTGAACTTTCTGCAATAGGATATCTTATAGGTGCAAGTTGGTTGCTGATATTTACTGAGGGGAAGTAACCCTATAGAGTGGTTAATTTGTAGTTGGTGTGAGCCTGATTAAGTGTTGAAACTGCTCACTTCAGCTCAAAGCAGATCTAAACCAAGTTCAGACAGTTTCTGGAGACATTCTCGAGCAGAAAGAATCATATGGTAGTATGCATTTGACATGCCCTTTTTATGTGAATGCAGATACAGCAGGAGAAAAATGTGAGATTTATTGATTCTTTTTTGCCAGGAGGCTTCTAATAACTAACCAGTAGTTATAACATTGTGGAAAAGCTTTCTCGAGCTCTACACAAGATGGGTGTGCTTCTATAGACAGCATGCAACTGGATGGTGGCTAAAAAAGAAATGTTCTTAACTGAAGCATCACCAAGTTACTTGTACAGATGCTTCTTCTAGGTCTTACCAGCCAAGTAGCCTTAGGCCAAGATTTGGGTTTGTTCAATGCAGTCTTTTATTGTGATTTAATCAATTTGGTCTGATTTAATTTCAAAACAATAAACAAGCTGCATGAGGAGAGATGAAGCTTATACCTAATTTTGTCAGTTTAGCCCCCACTCTATCAAAATACATATCTATGCAATTGAAATCAGTTGAACTATTTCATGCTTAAATGTTTACATATCCCTTACTGAGCGATTCTTCATTGTTCTAAATTTTCCTCATTTAAAAGGAAAGAAGTTGCAAATGCACAGTGCCACTTCAACAGTTGCATACAAAATCAAACAGATTAACTGATATTTTGTTCTGGTATTTTAGTAATTTTTTTTCTTATCAACTGTGACATTTTACTCCTAACCAGCATTTACTGTGCGCTGTCAAGCTCTATACAGTTATCCTAATATCACTTATGCACCACATTGGTTTATTTTATCAATATAATTTATATAAACTTTGGAAAATGAACTTAAAAAAAATCCGACTGTTAAAGATAATGTACAAGAAATTAATCTCAAATGAGCAGAAGTTACATGCATAGAAAAAATGACAATGTTCAGTTAGTTCCATTTCATTTATAGTAACCCAAACACGTAGCTATTTACCTCCCCCCTCTGGACAGATTTGGTAGTAGAAAGTAAACAGCACATTAAAAAATGTTTTGGAATTTTTGTTACTTTTTTCCTTTCAGAACTGCTGATTGCTTTTCAATGCATTGAATTTAGATAACATCCTTCTTAATTAAGATTTTTGTGTAAATACTGCTTCCTTATCTACATGAGCATTAGTTACATTTCATTTAAGTCTTTTTTTCCCTAGGATTAGATTCTGGTTTCAGAATGACATCAGTAATGATCCAGTGTGTTTTCTTGTCCTGACAAGAAAGAACAAGGAATCTGCATTCCCTTTAGTAATCTGGGCCAATTCCTGATCTTCAGGGTCTTCCTTTGCTTAAGTGATTTGATTTGAGCTTTAAGTGTATTTGTTTGCCATCCCAAAGGCAGATCTATGGACCGAAGGTTACATTTGGTAACCATTTTAAGTATCAGAGTTCATGCATCGCTGTGAACAACATCAATAGGAGAGACTCCTCACTGTTAAGAACTGTGAGATTCATCAGTCTGAAAGTTAAGGATATGTATTTCATAACCTTCTTTAATAGAACATTGATTTGAGACAAAGAAATTAATCAGCTGTTAAACACTCCTGGGCAGCATATCAATTCAGCTGCTCTTAAATTTATAAGACTACTTAGTATGAGGATAAGTGCAGCATTATCTTTTCTAGATCCTGGTAACTTAAAGCTTTCTACTATGTTTTTATCAGAAGATAACTTATGAAAACCTACCTTTCTGTGTAGCTATCCATCTCTCTATCTATCTAAATGGAGTATGTGACTTTACTTGCCTGATAAAAAGTGCATTTTTGCCATGTTCTGACTGGGTGCATTCTTTTTATAATTGTTTAAAACAATTGAATACCCTTTGCCTGTGACAATGAAGACAAATGCAGTATCTTGCTAAGCTTGGAAAATATCCCTTTCCAGTTGTCAAATATGGGACAACCATTAGTATTTATAATCTCACAACTGAAAATTTACCTATTAGTCTAGGTACTCAAACAACACCAGGATAGAGTTCTGCTTTTTTTTAATTACTACACGTGGATTAACTAAGAAAAATGATTATTTTTTTTTCCCCCAAACTTGTGTTTCTTCAATCTGAACATGGAATGTAAGATTTTGGGCTGAGATAGCATCAATAGTAATGTTCATTAAGTCCTCTCTTGGAGCTTCCAGTGATGGCAACTTGATAAACTCAGTCCTTCACTCTTCTTCATAATTATCTGAGTATTTATTCCTCCAGAGTAAGGTAACATGTTGCTTCATCAGCACATGGTATTGTCTCCATCTTTGCAACAATTGTTGTGTAAATAAGGGCTATTATCGCTATGTCCCTTTCACTCAAGATGACTAATTTCATTGTTGGCAAATTCTCTGAAGTGTCTTTCTCTCAAACATCTAACTTAAATCTTTGTACTTTGCATCTTTTTCACATGTGAGAGGGAGAACAGTGTATTCTCTGCAATAATGTAGCATATTAAGGTTACCTACCTAGCTTTCTCAGAATCCTCTTTAAGTTAACAAACTCCTTCTCTCAAGTCTTCACAGTTGTCAGACTTTCTAGATTGTACTGTTTTTATTGCTTTAATCCAGACTTCAGTTAGTGCACATCTTTCTTAAAGAGCAGCCCTAAAACCAGACACAAAGTTAGAGCTTGGGCTTCAATTGTTCCATACAAAGCAAGATTACCTTGTGTGTCCTACTGTACCTCCCACGTATTTGGACATATCAGCATGACGGTTCTTGTTTAAGAATAGCACAGCATAATTGGTAAATGCTTAGCTTGGGTTTCACTCTAGCTCCCAAATCCCTTCTGTGGAGCTGCTGTCTAATTGGGATTCGCTGCCCTGAATTTCTGCAGCTGATAATACAGTGCTGAATTTGTCTCTGCTCATTTGCATCCCGTTGCGTTGTTTTGTTTTTGCTTGTTTGCCTGTTTGTTGTAGAATGTGTCCTCTTTGTTACAACCATTCTGAATTCTGATTCTGTTCTCCAGAGCATGTGCAGATTTTCTCAGCTTTCAAGAAAGTGGAAAACAAAGCTTAGCTTGAATATTTCCCCAACAAATCAGTATAAAAATACACTGGAAGAAAACATGAACAGCAAAATAAGTGATGCCTGGGGATCCCTGGGGATAGAATAGAATCACAGAATCATTAAGGCTGGAAAAGGCCACTAGGATCATGTAGTCCAACCATCAGCCCATCCCCACCGTGCCCGCTGACCACGTCCCTCAGTGCTACATCCACAGGGTTCTTGAACGCTTCCATGGACTGTGACTGCAGCACCTCTCTGGGCAGCCTGTGCCAGTGCCCAATCATTTCTGAGAAAAAATTGTTCCTAATATCTAACCCGAACCTCTTCTGGCACAGCTTAAAGCCATTATCTCTCATTCTACCAAAGGAAGGGGCAGAAGAAACAGCTACTTAGATGTTATTTGGGAGACACACTCAGTTGTAGCTATCCTTGTGTCTGAAGGTCTGTTTTGTTCACAGGATTGTCCTGTTTTACAGAATACAGTGTTTGTACTTAGGAAGCACAGATCACAGGAAGGGAAGATAAGTGCTGCTGCTAAGAGTTGAGTGGTGCAACCAGCCCTGACAGAACCGGTGCTGATCACAAGGCAGTCACAGCACACAGGAGCGCGCACCCACACACACGGAGAGGCGGTCAGCGGCCGGCAGAGAGTGTGCGCAGCGGGACTGCCCGCCCTTTCCGCCCTGCCACGGTACTTTTCCGCGCTGATGGCGGCGAGCGGCCAGGAAGTGGCTCAGCAGCAAGTGAGCGGCGGTGGGGGAACGAGAGTTGCGGGGCCCCCAGTTTTTATGGTTGTCTGTTGCACTGATTCTGTCATGTCTGTAAATAAGCTATAGGAGAACGAAGCCTAAAGCTGCGGCTGGTGCACGATTTGTGTACTTAACGATTTTTACACGCTGCTTTCTCTAGATTGATGAAATCGAAGCCCTCTCGTCCATATACGGTGAAGATTGGTGTGTTGTTGATGAAGATGGGAAAATCTATTGCATTAAGATTGGTGACTGTCTGGATCAACCAAAGTGGACCCTCTGCCTGCAGGTACAGTGCTGCTGGGCAGTTTGACACAGTGTGCTGTGGGACTCAGGCAGGCAAAACCTTATGCCTGTATAAAATCCTTTACAATAGGATTTTGTATTCACTCATGTAGGTTAAGAAGTTTTTGGTTTGGAGTCTGTAATACACTTTTCATTGGTGGTTCTTAGACCTGGGAGGATTGGCCAACACACCTGAAGGCTGTGCTACCACTCAGCAAGACCTGGACAGACTGGAGAGTTGGACCTGATGAGGTTTAAGAAGAGCAATTGTAGGGTCTTGCGCTTAGGGAGGAATAACTGCATGTGCTAGTGCAAGTTAGGGGATGACCTGCTGGAGATGAGCTCTGTGGAGAAGAACATTGGAATCCTGGTAGACAGCAGGTCCATGAGGCCGTGAGCCAGCAGAGTGCCCTTGTGGCCAAGAAGGCCAATGGCATCCTGAGGTGCACTAAAAAGAACCTGGCCAGCAGGTCGAGGGGAGTGATCCTCCCCTTCTACTCTGCTCTGGTGAGGCTGCATTTAGTCTACTATGTCCAGTTCTGGGCTCCCTAGTTCAAAAAAGATAAAGATATCCCAGAAGGAGTCCAATGGAGAGCCACAATAATGATAAAAGGCCTGGAGCATATCTTGTATGAGGAAAGGTTGAGTAACCTGGCACTGTTCAGCTTGGGAAAAAAATACTGAGAAGGGATGTAATAAATGTTTATAAATATCTTAAGGGAGGTGGGATGCGAGTGGATGAGGCCAGTCTCTTCTTGGTGGTGTGTAGTGATAAGAGAAGGAGTAAGAGCCTAAAACTTCAACATAGTAAGTTCTGTACTGATATGCAGTAGAAATGCTTTACAGTAAGGGTGATGGAGTACTGGAACAGCTTTCCCAGAGATGTTGTAGGGTCTCCTTCTATAGATATATTCAAGACCCATCTGGATATCTCCCTGTGCTACCTATTGAAAAGTACCTGCTTTAGCAGGGGGGGTGGATTCGATGATTTCTTGAGATCTCTTCCATTCCCTGTAATTCTGTTATTCTGTGATTTGTTTGACAACACAACTTGCTTATGATGGTCGCAGTATTTACATATCCTAATTCCGCACTCACAGAACCATATCTCTGTGTTTTTCTTTAAAATCTTATTTTAGACGTACTGTTATTTACATTGACTTTGTTAGGGCACCTGAGTGAATCTACAGCTACTTCTATGTTTACTTTTCCAAAGTGTGGAAACAAACAATATTCACATCAACGAAACTGAATAGCTGAATGTTGGAGTCCATTAGTAAAGCTCTGCTAGCTGAATAATGCAGTGAACATTCACTCTGAATTTCTTTCAGGTGATTTTGCCTCCAGGATACCCAACTTCAGAGCCACCTATTTATCAACTGAAGTAAGTGAAGTTTCTTGTTGATAGTTGCTTTCTTTCAAATATTTATTTATTTATTTACAGAGTTACCATTGTTGCTTGTTTGAAGTGTATGTTGAAGTTTCAGAAATTTTTTAATGAGGGATGACTGATATTGTTTTATTTTCAAGGTGTTTATCACATTTATTTAAAAATGAATGTTTGTTGAGGTGCTGGAATCAGAGTACAGGTGCCATTTTCATTGTATTTCTTTTTATTCTAGTGCTCCTTGGCTTCGGGGACAAGATTACACTGAACTAGCAAATAGCTTGGAAGAAATATATATGTAAGTTACAGTCTGTGGAACATCGTAGAAGGTGATGATACATCTTCAGTCTTGTGTGCTTTTAAGTACCTGCTTAACTAGTGAATGTAGTGGTTGATGCAGCAGCCATCAAACATTCAATGCTATGTATATACTAAACATTTTATTAGAATGAATTGTCTTAAACTCTGGCAATTTCTTTTATATTGTTTAGACCTGGTGCTGTTTTAGAATGGATGTCTTAATTTTGGCTCCTAATGTTTGACCCTTTAGAATCATAGAATCATAGAATGGCCTGGGTTGAAAAGGACCACAGTGATCATCTTGTTTCAACCCCCCTCCTATGTGCAGGGTCACCAACTACCAGACCAGGCTGCCCAGAGCCACATCTAGCCTCAAGATACTTTCAGATTTGAGGTGTAGGTAGGTTTCAAAACAAGCACAATTAGCAGAGTCTTTTAACTAGAATCTGTAACATGGCAAATTACATTCTCACAGTGTGTAGCTAGCTGAACTCTTGATGCATGAGAAAAAACATAACATTAAGAAATAATCATAGAATCAAACTACGTTTTAGAATTGCTATGAAATTGGAATATTAAATGGAGTAATTTTATGTGGTTTATTTAATATATGAACTAGATGAAATGAAAATATGTCATAAGGAGGCATAGCTGTGCCCAAATAATGAAATCTGAGTGTCTTGCTTAAGAAATATGCTTTAATGTCATAAAAAAAGAGAGACACTTGGCTTTTTTATGTTTTGTTTGTTTTTGTTTCAGTTTTATCTAATTACCAACTTACTTCAGGTACATGGGTTTCTTATAATTTAACCGAGCAAAATTGAGTTAGGATTTGAAGTTAGAAGTTGTAGAGTGGAGGAAAAGAAACTGAGTGTCCTTGATTCTGTAGGAGTCTCCACCAGAGATAAAGCTGCTGTTCTGTCCTTCCTAAGCATCCAGGGCATTTAGAGCATCTTGCCCCACTGCCAGGAGGAATAGCATGGTTGTTAAGCACTCTTTTTCTTTGTAGAGAGCCCTTGTTGGTCTCCTGCCGTTTTTGTTTGTTCAGCAGAAAATGAATGTGTTTGTACTTTAGACAGTATGTGTCATTTTAGAGTGTGTTTTTAAACCCTTCTGGAGTTGTCACTGATGTATGCAGTGTTTGTGAAAGCCTTTTATCTATCCACTGTCTAAATAGTTACCAGGTAAACTTAATTACTCTGGATCATTTACAATGTGTGGCTTACCTGGTTTTGAATCCCTAGTGATCTAAATTGCTTAGTTTTGCAAATAATGTGTACTGTTGGTGACTCACTATGTCTTCTTAAGGAGATGGGAAAAGCAGATAGCAATAGATCACAAATCTGCTTTGCTAGGCCCAAAGTTCTTACAATATAGAAAATATTTGGATTTATTTTATTTCTTCATATGCTCTTCTGGTAAGATTTATTTTTTCCAATAACAAAGCTTTGTTTCATGATTTAGATGCAAGTGTCAAGAAAAATAGCTGTCTATAAAAGTAACCTTTGAGACTAAGCGTAAAAGACAGAAACTGAAATTGGGTTATAGCTATAAAAATTAATAGTTTCTCATATCGAACAGAAAAATCTTGTTCATTCTGTAATCTGTCATTCCATCATTAAAACAAATATAGTTCTTCATGTATTATTAAAACAGTGCTTCTATATGATAAGCAGCAGCATGAAATCATGGTTTTCTCTCATTCTGGAGTCTGTCAAGGTTTTGGAGGCAGCTACAAGTTTACAAATTCCTCATTTTTGCTTGAAAAGTTTTCTTAAAATATACATATTTGTTTGAATTTCTAATTTCATTTGGCAGTTGTGCTGTATACACTGTGTAAAATAAGCATTTTTAAAGTTTTGTTACTGGTGTGTATTTATATGCTGCCCCAGATGGTGGCAGTAAGAATAAAATTATTAATAGAGAAGCTGTGAGTTGGCTAAAGCCCTACATTTTCAGTTCTGATTTTGAGACTAACACGCACAGACCATAAACATGTTAAAATATAATTTGGAAAGTTAGTTTTCAGGGCACTGTTTTAAATATATTTTGGGATGTTTCAGTTCTGCTGCACATTAAGGCAGTGTTTCCTAAATTGGAATGTGCACATAAAAGCATTTATCCCATCCTCTCCCATTAGCATAATACATGTCTGTGCCAGCTGACTAAGGGCTCTTAAGCTCAACAGTTACCTCTCCTCCCTCTCCTTTAGGATTTATCATCAGCAAACTGTAGCATGTTGATCTACTGCTCCACTTTGTCAGCTACCACTGACCTACTGTCACAGTCCTGCAGGATTAGCCCCTGCTGTGTATATGTGCTGAGAGCATGATGGGGAAGAGAAGGGAGGCTGTTCTAAAAGAAATCTCTCAGATATGAAGGGGAAGAGACTCTGCAGGCAGAGTGGCTGAAAGAGCTCATCACAGGCAGTACCGAACTTTCTGAAAACCAATCCAGAGCATGCTCAGAAACTACGCGAACTGGCTTAGTATTCTTTTGAGAATGCTGAGGGCTGTCCAATTTATTGTACTCACAGTTGTTTTCACTTTCTTTATAGGCCAAAAAGTTTCCGTCATTGCTTGTTTTCTTCCAGTACTGGTGCTTTTAATGCTGGAAAAAGTGCAGTAGAGTATATAATGATGCTGATTGTCACTGAGCTTCCACAAGCCTAAGCTCCTTACTGCCCTAGACTGTAATGTTCTATTACTGCATGTCTGAAATCTGCGTATTATTTAATGTAGATACTTTCTAAGTGAAATCTGAAAGAAAAAAAAAAAATTCCTTACTCACTGCAAGTTTTAACTTCCAGACAGAACCTTGGTGAAAGTATTCTTTACTTGTGGGTGGAGAAGATACGAGAAGTTCTGGTGGAAAAGGCACAGTCATCAAATTCAGGTACTTCAGGAAATACATGGATTTTTCAGTTTACTTCTTGTTCAGCTGCAAAATAAGATCATAGAATCATAGAATGGCCTGGGTTGAAAAGGAGCACAATGATTATCTAGTTTTGACCCTGCACTTAGCAGGGGGTTGCCAGTCACCAGACCAGGCTGCCCAGAGCCACATCCAGCCTGGCCTTGAATACCTCCAGGGATGAGGCATCCACAACCTCCTTCGGCAACCTGTTCCAGTGTGTCACCACCCTCTGTGTGAAAAGTGAAGGTTTCATTGCCAGTTAAAGATTTATTCCCAGTTTTCTTGACTTACGTGGGTAAGAGAACACAGTCTCTGGTTTGGCTTATTGTATTACAGTGATAGCTTTCCTTTCTCAAAAAGCAATAGAAAATAAAAAGGAAGGGGGTGGTTTCAATGAAGTAGAGTCCTCAATTTTATTATAGTGCAATTAAGAGTTGCTTCACAACTGGAGTTGAGGTGATTTTTCTGCTGTTACTCCATCAATGACAGGGCTTGTATAAATTAACAGCCGCTCTTCCCATAAATTATGGGCCTTCTTTTTCCATATGAAAATGCTAAACTACCATGAAATACATGAGCAAAATGTCTGCATGCACTTATGGCAGAAGGAAATAGAAATATTTTGAATTTTTTGTTGTAATAAGTTGTAAATTCTGCACTTCGTAGTTTTTTCTTCCTAGCAAGCTGATTTCAACTGAACAGCCAGACATTTAATAGAAAAAGAATTTGAAAATTTGTATTACTTATCTCTCAGAAAAGTATATAATAGGTTTGCTTACTACTTACACTTTTATAGAACCAGATATTAAGAAAACCACTGAAGAAGTTGATGAAGACAATGGGGATGATTTTCTCCTAGACTATCAGCCTGTTCAGGAAGATCCGGTAGAAATTTTAAGTTATATCACATCTGAAAGTCAAGAAGGTAAAGATGTTTCCTTGTTAATTGCAATGAAATAATTTAGGAAAGAGTGACCTTTAAGTTTCAGTTTTTCTACTCAGCTTTTGAATAAAATTAATAGCATAAAAAATCGTAATTAAGAATAATGATTGCAAATAACCCTGTATATTTTTGGTGGTTCTGCATGTCATCACTTTGTACATAGCTTTAACCAATCTCTTTTTTAAAAGTTTAGATATTCTTTAAGGGTATTGAATCAACAAATAAGTTCAATTTATTTGTTCAAATAATTCAACTCAGTTGTTTCAGTACCCTTAAAGAAAACGAACACTTCTTTATTTGTGATCAGTAGATGAAGAACTGCCGATGATACATCATGGAAACCCACTCACGGATCGAAGGAGTACATTCCAGGCACATCTGGCTCCCGTGGTGACACCCAGACAAGTTGGTATACTTTGAGCTTGGCTGAATGTTACTGAAATACTTGGAATTAGATGAATATATCTTTCTTTGTGTGTCAATATCATCTGAGCAGTCATCTGTCTTTGCCTGTCATTATTGGCTGAATAACTCCTAAGTAGCAGCTCTGCAATGCAGCCTGGTAGTTTCCAGTTTTGTTTTTGAGGTGGGTAGATGTTGCTGTCCCTTATTCTTAACTGTGTGAGAACACTGAAACGGGACTTCTGGACTAATTTCAGTCACTTTGTACATCCCTTTGCATCTGTTAACTTTGTCGCCTTTGATGATCCCTGTTCACAGAATCACAGAATCACCCGGGTTGGAAGGGACCTCAAGGATCATGTAGTTCCAACCCCCCTGCCTAGCAGGGCCACCAAACATACACATTCAGATCAGGTTGCCCAGGACCCCGTCCAACCTGGCCTTAAACACGTCCAAGGACGGGGCATCCACAACCTCCCTGGGCAGCCCGTTCCAGGGCCTAACCACTCTCCTTGTAAAGAACTTCCCCCTAACATCCAACCTAAATCTTCCCTCCTTCAACTTGGATCCATTTCCCCTAGTCCTGCTATTGTCAGCCCTTTTGAAGAGTTTACTCCCCTCCTGGGTGTAGGTTCCCTTCAGGTATTGATAGGCTGCAATGAGGTCACCCCGCAGCCTTCTCTTCTCCAGGCTGAACAAGCCCAACTGCCTCAGCCTGTCCTCATAGGGGAGGTGCTCCAGCCCCCTGATCATCTTAGTCGCCCTCCTCTGGACCCTTTCCAAAATCTCAATGTCTTTCTTGTACTGAGGGCTCCACACCTGGACACAGTACTCCAGGTGGGGCCTCACAAGAGCCGAGTAGAGAGGGACAATCACCTCCCTGTCCCTGCTGACCACCCCTTTCCTGATGGAGCCCAGGATCCCATTTGCCTTTCGAGCTGCCAGAGCGCACTGTTCAGTGTGGAAACTACTGATGTACTCATCTTTTCTTGTCATTAACTAAGAGTTAAACCTTGTGGATATTTTCCTCTTCCCTTGTATCCAATTCTCACTTTTATTTCAAGAATTTTTGGTAGCACATCTTCTCAAATGTGTCATTGGTTTACGGGCTGGTTCGGCCCAGTTCCGTGATCAGCGGGGCGGAGGGATTTCACAGAATCCGCACCTCCAGAAAAAGGGAACAGGGGACCCCAAAATAATTAAAAACAGCGGCAACGATCTGAGGAGAAACAAACTAATTTACTAAATATAGTATCGGGATGCAAGATAACACACCATAATACAATATAATTAAAATTGAAACTAGTGAATCAAATATAATGAGAGAGAAAATGTGCAAAAGGTGGATAGGCCTCACCATAAAGCTGAGGTGAGATGCACAGTCCAGTTGAGCAGCAGGGAGATGGGAGGAGAACCGACGAAGAGCAGACGAGAAAGAGCACATCAGGTGACCTTGCCAGGAGTTGTATCTCCTCTCCGTGACCACAAATTCCCCTGGGGAATGTAGTTGTTCTTCTCTTCTGGGCAGGTACCCAGGACTTGAGCATTAACAGTTAAACTCCAGTGCCCCACATGATGTTATGATGTGGAATACCAAAACCAAAAATCATAAAACCATGACAAATGGTTTTTGAAATTCCAGGTGGGCTAGATCAACCAGCAGCTAGGAAGCACGTGCTCAGCAACTCTGAAATAATCTTGACAGATTGACAGATTTTTAGAAGTGTAATTCCCTATGTGAAGGCAGTAGTTTATTAAGCTGTGCTGATGTTGTGAGGCTGTTCTATTTTTTGTTGTTGTTGTTTTTCCTTCTGTTAATTTGCCTAGCATGATGTAAGACTTACACATACTTCTGGAGTACATTTGAGAATGTTGGTATCACTTCAGTTGCCCTCTGCTGCAGAAGCAGTTTTAACTGGTAGGTTAGATACCTTAGTAGATGTCAACATCTTCATACTCTAGTTCCCTTTAAATATTTAAATTCATACAATCTGTTTTTGCAGATTTGTTTCAGTTCATCTTAACTTCATCAATGTTATTCTATCATAAGGCTCTGCTCTGCTGTCCTTGCCTGACCTTTTTTAATACGTACTGTCCGTTCAGTTAGGTTTTTGTGCTACAGCTGTGTATTCTTTGATTGATTCTTCTGCATTGTATCTATCTGCTCATAGTACACATTTATAGAAGGCTTCAGCTTTTTGAGTTTGAAAAAATATTATTATGACTTCTATTTTTATATGTCCAAAAATGTGCTGTGCCTTTCATATCTATCTTGTCATCTGCCTTATTTTTCTCTGTCTGAATACATCAGAATTTTTGAACAAGCCTTTAGCTTCTTTGAGCTGTTCTCTTAGTGCTTCCAAAGTGAAAGTAATTTTATACTTTAGGTTTAATGTGGAATAGCTCAATTTTTAAAAATACTTAATGCATTACCATTTTCACTAAAGTATCACTGTACTTTAGAGGCTTTCTTAGCTTTTTTCAGTCTATGAAATGTAAGTTTCTATGAGCTGTTTTGCTTTGGAAAAGAAAACAATTGGAATCATTGATTTAATGCTCTTTTTTCATTGCTTCTTTTAAGGCCTCTATTGAAAGTCCACCTATATTTGGAATATGCAGAGTATTAAGGTAGTGCAATTTCCCGAGTGTCAAATCCAGCTTGTTTCAGGGCCTTGCTGTACTGTGTAAAGTGATTGGTCTGCAGGCTGCAGGGTAGGATTGCTGTGGCATGGGTTCCTTTTTCAGAAAGAAAGTTGAAAGAGGTGAGCGATGGGATAAATGTTGTACTATACTGAAAGCTAGCTTCTTTATCAACTGAAGTGACTGGTGTGTACCCATAATGCTTTATCTGCATGTTTGTATGTTGCAGTGGTGGTCTTTAATAATTTAAGATAGGACTGATTGCTTTGTAAATTCTTCTGTTGAAAATTTTAGTAGTGGAGCTTTACTTCTGGTACAGCTTTCAGTAACAAAGGCCAGAATAATGCTGTAGACAGTTAAATATGCTGTCATATGGGGAAACAAAATTGATAGCACTGCTAGATTTGGTACTGTTGCTTTTCCTTGTCTAGCATATTTTGACGTTTAAAATGTGTGTGGTGCTTGTACTTGGTGTAGGGACTAAGGCCTAGATGGAGCTAGGAAGTGACCTATGGTTTAAAGATCTTTTGTACCTTCTATGAGCAGGTCCCTTGCTGACCTTGTAGAGAATCTCTTAGTTCCCTAAGGAAGGAACAGTGGAAAAAAGGCTTAAGAGCTACAGTAGGAAAAAGGATAGGTTATTGCTCATCTGTGAGATGGCTGTATTGCAGGTTCATTGATAATACAGACATTTAATGAGGTTTTGAGAGATCTGTCAGCTACCAGGATTCTAAAAATATAACTGATGTCAAAGGTGACAATCATTTCATATGCTTTCTATGCTGTTTATTGAAATGTATTTATGAAAGCTTATTGAATAATGAGTTGTCTTTCTTCAGTATTCCACTTAAGAGGGAAAACTGGAGAAAACAGTTGTCTGAAGCAATGTTCTCTGTTAATAATAGGAGATTCATTGAGGTTGTTTGACGTTAAATTTCTGTCAGAAGAACTGAAAATAGCACAGTATAACTAGGATAGATAATGAGTGTGAATACTTATTATTTCTCAGATTTACTTTTCTTCAGAATGAAAGACGACTTACTTTCCATGCGTGTTTTCCCAACCTTTCTCAATTTTAGTCATGCTTTCCTCAGGATAAGATTAATTACGTATTACCTATCAAAGCACTGTTTTAGTTAAATCTTTCCATTTTTCTAGAACAAGTTTAGAAGTGTTGATTTTTCTAGAACATGTTGATAAATGTTTTGAATTTTGTATTTAAGAACAGAAGGATGGACATGGTAAAAACACTTTTTCTGGGAAATACTGGCATGTTCAGACACATGGAAGAAAGCTTTTATTGGTATTATTATTTTTTATTCTTTCCATAAGATGGAAACTGGAAAACAAGTAGGTTTGAATAAAAATTATATTTCAAAATGAAACATAGTGGAACTTCTTAAACATTGCACATTATTGTGATATCAATAAAAGCAGCATGCAAGAGAAAACATGTTGTGCCATTACTCCAGCTTAATGTTATACTTCAAAAAACATGAAGGTGTAATTGATACTTAATACTGATTTAAATTTTTTTTTAGATCTTGCCATATCTTATGTATTGAATCAGTTTGATGCTTTTGGTTATTCAGCAATGATGTGAATGTATGCCAATTCAAGGAACAACTGTTTTTAGTATCTCAGAAATATGATCTGAAACTGGCATGAGTGTACTGGTGTGGTGGCACTCCTTCTTGGGTTAGCACACTGATTGCTTAATTAATTTTATATTAAAATGTTAAAATCTTTCTCTGTTGTACTGAAAAGATGCTTGTTTAACAATGAGATTGATGTTGAGATGGTGAATGTGAAATCCCCCATTATGAAAATAAGCTTATTTCTATGTTGTTGTTTATATATTTTTTTTTAAGGTAAAGAGAGTTCTTGAAAAATTATATGAGAATAAGAAAATTGCAAGTGCCACCCACAACATATATGCATACAGGTGAGAGATGGTGATTTTTCTGCTATTTCTTGCCAAGTGAGTGCTGTGCATGAGAAAGGTAAAACCCACCAAAGAAATTCCTTGCTAGTGAGTCATTCTGGGACTAAGTTTCCTATTTGTGTATTGAAGATATTAGGATTCATTTTGAACTTGGGAAAAAAAAAAAGCAAAACATATAGTAAGAAAAAATATGAAGATAGTAAAATATGAAGAAAGTAAAGATTTAAAAACCAAAGAAACAAAAAACCCTAAAAGTGGACTGGAACATTTTTGGTATACTTTGTATGGGAGATGAGATTAAGGAATTACTGCTTCATCCTGAACTAAATATGGTTTTACTTCTGCGAAGCAGTAAGTAAACTTCTACCTGACCGCTTGAACCATTTGGAAAAAACTGAAAATTTTTAGTTGCAATAGGAACTGAAGCACAAAGCTGAATGCAAACTGGCGTATGAAATTGGCTGAAATACATGAAACTTCAGGGAAATTAAGAAATGGGTAATAATGAGTTTGGCAACGGTCTGTGACAACTTTTGTGAACATAGAATGATAGAATGTTAGAATGGTTTGGGTTGGAAGAGACTTTTAAGATCAACTAGTTCCACACCCCCTGCTGTAGGCAGGAACACCTCCCTCTAGACCAGTTTGCTCAGAGCCCCATCCAGCCTGGCCTTAATGCTTCCAAGGAAGGGGGCATCCACAGCCTCACTGGGCAACCTTCCAGTCAGTGTCTCACCATCCTCACAGTAAAGAACTTCTTCCTAATGTCTAGTCTAAATCTACCCTCTTCCAGTTTAAAGCATTTCCCGTCATCCTGTTGCTGCCTGCCCTTCTAAAGTCCCTCCTCAACTTTGCTGTAAGACCCCTTCAAGTACTGGAAGGATGCTAGAAGGTCTCCTCAGATTCTTCTCTTCTCCAGGCTCAAAAGCCCCAGCTCTCAGCCTGTCCCTGTAGGCGAGGTGCTCCAGCCTTCTGATCATCTTTGTGGCCCTCCTCTGGACGTGCTCCAACAACTTGATGTCCTTCTTGCGTTGGGGACCCCAGAACTGGATGCAGTACTCCATGTGGGGTCTCATGAGGACAGAGCAGAGGGACACAATCACCTCCCTCAACCTGCTGGTCACACTTATCTTCATGCCACTGAGGATAAGTTGGCCTTCAGGGCTGCAGGCACACACTGCTGGCTCGTGTTGACTCACCAACAGACAGTCCCAAATCCTTCTCAGGGCTGCTCACAAGCCATTCTCTGCCCAACCTGTATCTGTGCTTGGGATTGCCTTGACACAGATGCAGGGTCATAGCTTCTGTAAAATGAAATAGTCTCAGTCCAGATAGTGATGCAGGTGTTCTGAGGAACGTAAGGAACAATAAAAAGAGCCCCCTGGAGGAAGCAGTCAGCTGAAAAAGCCTGTATTGAAAGTAATCCATTCATGTGCTTCCTGGGATGATCCTAATGAAATATGAAATGAGAGCAACTGAATGCTTACTTCACCAGCTTGTCTACCTAAGTTAAAGGTTTCTGTAATGAGAGCTGCTGCTGATCTGACTCTTTTAACTCATACCATCTAAATACACTTCAAAATAGCAAAAGAAGTGTGGTTACTGCTCCATGTATTCTAGTCAGTACGAGCGGCATCTTCGTCACTGTGTCACATGTGTATTAAACTTAAGTGCAGATGTTATGAAATGAATTAGATGACAAAACAGAAAACTTGCAAGCATTTTTTCTGGAAATTTATACCTGACCTTTGTATATAGCAGCATGCACCAAGTCTCCTGGAGTGCCCTCAGGCATATCACCATATTCTGTCACAGCTCTGCTTTAGAGAAGGGCTTGGTAAACAGCGTGGTGAATTTGAAGCAGAGTTTCAGTAATAGTTTTGCACTGCTGGTGAAATATAGACGTAACTAATTACTAATACTATTTTTGTCAGGCTTCTTTTAGCTTGTTGGTGTGTACCATCTGTATCTGAAGTTGTTGGCTTAAGCTGAGTGTAAGTGTAATCTTCAGAATAAAAACCTAAGGATTCTTCTTTTGGGGGACTTTACACTAGCAATGAATATGGAGTTAACCTGAAGTAGTTAAAATAATGTACAATCTTCACGTTTGTTACTCTATACAGATAATATTTGTGGTTTACCCGAAGCCTCATCCTGTTTTGATGCAAGTATCCTTAGTGAAGAAGCAGAATTGATGCACGTGTTTGTAAAAGATTTCTGGAACTTCCTTAATCACTTACAATGTTAGTTGATTGATACTTTTGGAATCTGTTTTTATGCTTATGTTTTTCTGCCTTTTTACTATTTTTTTTAAGGATATACTGTGAAGATAAGCATACGTTCTTACAGGACTGTGAAGATGATGGGGAGACAGCAGCTGGTGGACGTCTTCTTCATCTTATGCAGGTTATGAGAAGTCAAAGATTAATTTCTATAATCTTGAACAGATTTTAAAAATCACTACAGTGTGAATAAACTCACAGCAGACTTTTGTAATTCTTGCTCTTTTACTTTCTCTGCAGTCAAAGAAAAAAATATAGACTGTTGTATGCCTGTGATGAGTTGAGTTTTCCAAGTCTTGAATCATAAAAATAAATAATGTTTCATAGATGGCATTAATAGTTGGACGGGTTTAGAAGAGAAAGAAATTTTGAATCTTCTACTTGGTGTAAGGTATAATGAAAATGAAGACTGGAAGAAGCTGATCGACAGGATGAACAGCTGACCTTTACACAACCTTTACTTCAGTTTCCATGAACATTTGTAATGAGAAGTCTGTTCCATTTGAACTTGCAGAGTAAGGCTTTGAATGCAAAAGTCAGTAGAAGTGATGCAGTCAAACTTTTCTGATTACCTGTTTCTTAGCGCTGTTTCCAGTTCTGCGTCTTTAGCCCTCATATTGACATACTTCTTAGTTTTCAGGTGTGGAAATAAAGCCTTGGTAAAGTTCCTGCTAAATATACACTGAAGATAGACTTTGATTCACTGACGTGATGCAGTGCAACCCCTTGTAAAGCCATAAGTAAAATATCCTAACTTCAGGGAACAGCTGGATACCTCTTATGCCTCAAGTTGCTTAACTGCATCAGCACACTAATTACTGTTCTGCATTTTGATTTTAGATTCACATCACCTTTGGAACAAGGATTTTCTTTTCCTGGCCTTTGCTTGCTTGTATATTTTGTTGCTTAGTTTGCTTAGTATTCTTGGAAAGTGCTTTAAAACTTTTCTTTTTAATTTCAAAGATTATATACCTCAAAATACCTCTTTTTTTTTTTTTTTTTTTTTTTTTTGTTTGTTTAGAACTTTTTGAAACTTTCTAATTAACTCAACTTTGACTTGGAAAGGAATACTTGCATATGTTACATAAATTAAGCTTACATGCTAAGTGTGAATGTACAGTTTTAGTGATAGCAGCATGAGGAAGCAACTTTGCAGTTACTGTTCCTGAATTTATCCTAAGCCCGTTGACTCTTTCTCAGTATTTTAATGTATACTTTTGAAACTTAGCAGATTTACAGTGTTTTAAGTGCTTAACAGTCCATACAAGTGCAGTTTAGAATGGCATGAAATTTTACCTTTTAAATGTGAATGCATCTAAATCATTTGGATCATATCTGTCCATTAGTAGTACTCATTATTGGGAATATTTTTGCTTTGGAATTATAGTGCTGCAGGGATCAGGAAAGTGTAGTTTTCATTGGGACAAGATTGAAGTAGTTTAAGGGCTAATTTCTAGGTGTCAATGTAATTCTCTTAATTCTTCTGTTGTAAGCAATTCTGATATGGGCTGAAAGTAAGGTAGTATAATACAGTTATATTATGGTATTATTGCTGTAGTTCTTCTTTTGCAGTAGGGATCTTATCTTGTTTTAGATAAATCTAGCACTTTTGTCAAGATAGCACTTTCTGGTTACAAGAAAAAAGAATTTTAGATTTATTCTTTTAAACTTAAGGTTAGAGTTAAAATATTTCCCAACTATCTTTGACATCCTGTTTACTGTGAAAAGGTGCTATAAATTGAATCTGTGGCTGATGAGTAAATGGAGAATAGAAAATGCCTGTCACAAAAACTGCCCTTCCTTTTTGTTAATTTTTTTTTACATTATCCTTTAAATTTTAAAATACCAACAATGTTTCTGTCTCCATTTTACCTTCACAAAGGTAAAATCTTCTGATAGGATTGTTGAAATTCGACAAATAAATGCGTATTTTTTCCTCCTTAATGGAGATTATAGTGATTATTAACCTGCTTTATAGATAGATGGCTTCTAAGGGGTTTTCCTCACATTCCACTTCACCAAAGCACTTTCTGTCTTGTAGACCAAAGTGCAGACTGCACTTTACTCTGCAGTAAGCAAATAAAGCTGTGATTGCTCTGTCTGTCCATCTGTGTGTATTAGTGAAATAGTGCACCACTCTTGTGAATGAGGTGTTTGTAAGTGAAGACCTGTCACAGATTTAGATGCCGAAGTTGGAGGGAACAGATTCAGGATCATAGCCACTATCCATTAACTAATGGTGATTATCACTAAGTGTTTCCATGCTATAATGTCATATTTTAGCAAGACTCATTTTTGATATTTAGTCATTGTCATGCACTGTTATTACTTTGTGCTGCTGCTGGATTTAGGTGTTGTGACAAATAAAGATGCTGAGGTCTTCCATGCTTCATGCCTTTAATTGCAGTAAAAGAAATTATCGCTTCTGCTTAGCTCTGTCCTTTATTTTGTTATATCATATATGAGATTATTTCGTTCCTTTCAGTACTAGTTGCTAATAAAATTATGTTGCATGAACTTCATGTATGCCTTTTGGATTTCAGAAAGCAACTAAGGGACGCTGATTCAGACCCAAAAAATTCAGAGATTTTCTTGTATTATCTAACTGTTGTTGCCACACAAAGGACTTAGCAACAGTAGGAGAAAATTCTACAAAATCATAGAATATACCAACTTGGTAGTGACCCACAAGGGTCATTGAGCTGGCATTTTAGATATCCAGATGAACCGTGCCTTATGTACCTGTTCTCTGGCTGTTAGTAACGTTTATCCACCAATGTTTCCAAGAGTGTGGAAAACAATCTGCTTAGTGGCAGAGGTTCTCTGGAAGTAATAATCTCCTATTAAAAAGTAGTAAAAGTAACTCAGTAATCGACCGGTTAAGTAATGCCTTGAGGCTTTTTACATTGGTGAGCAACTTAGTGCACTAGGTAACTTTATGCCATTTCTAAAGGGACATCTTTACTTTTTTTCTTTTTTACTTGAATTTACCTTTCAGTAGAAATGTGGACAGTGAAACTTACCACATGTACTGAATTGTCATTACTTGTTGCCCTCCGATGACTTTTGTGCTGTGTGTGATACAGACCTAATGCTAGTTTCTTAATAACAAGTAGACTTTTTCTGTAATTAACAAAGATAACAATAATAAAACTAGTTTAATTTTTTTAAAAAAGTCACTTTTTTCTTTTTTTTTGTTTTTCTAACAGATTTTGAATGTCCAGAATGTGTTAGTTGTGGTATCCCGCTGGTATGGAGGTATTCTGTTAGGACCAGATCGTTTTAAACATATCAACAATTGTGCAAGAAATATACTTGTGGAATACAACTATGTACATTCAGTGGTAAGTTTCTACGACTTAAAATGGAGGCATTTATATGTAAATGTGTGTAAACTGTCACTCTTAGATGAAGTCAGAAGAAACATAAAGCTATTTCAGATGTCATCCTCTCATTGCTTTGGTGCGCTGGTAAGGAGAGTTTGCACTGATCAGATGCCTTTATGAAAACTTCCAATGTTAGTGATTTGTAATCATGAAGTGTGCAGTAGAAGAGTGTGGGAGCAGTTGAGAACTGTGATCCAGAACATCACTGTGAAGCTCGAGGAAGGGTGGGAAGGTGATGAGCTGGTTTCTGTTAAGTAAACTGGCTGCTGCTGCCTCTTATGTTTACATGTGCTGCAGTGTTATTGTGTAGGCAGATTGAGCTTAGGAATCACTGTAGCTAGTGGGCATTTTAAAATGTGAATGCCTTTTGAGTAGGCTCAAGGAAGATTTCAAAATTACAAAATATAGCATGGTAATAACAGAAAATACTATTAAAATAGTAGATGGTAGGCATCGTTAAAAAAGAAAAAATTAGACTGGAAGAATTCAAACCAACTCACATTAGCATTACAGAAAAGAGGAAGGAATAATGTTTCAAGGGGGTAAATCACTTGAGTCAGGAATTCCAGATGTCTTTAAATGTAATTTTATGTCGAATATGTAGATCACTTAATTGTGTATTACTCCCATTTTTCCACATTCTTCATCCTCAGATCAGTGGATGAGTGTATGTTATATTAAAATATGTCATTGCTAATGATAGAAATTTTACAACAGCAGGAAATAATTTCTAACTGATACTTTGTCAAGTATTCACTGTCAAGTTTTCCTTTTGTATAAAAGTATCTAAGATTGCTGTGGCTGGACGCTCAGCATTCTTTTGTGTTCTTCCCCCTTCACTTCTCAGTTACTTCTAGCAATTCAGACGTGCTTGTATATACTTACTGACTCACTTTCTTGGCTGCTGATCGAATTTCTCTTATTTTAATGTATTTTTTATAAAATAAAAGGAAATTATAACAAGATGTTCAAGCATTTTTACTTGAGAAGGTTCAGTACTGAAAGTGAGTGTAAATAAATGTTATTTTCCTAACAACTTCAATCAGATTGTGTTTTTAACAAACATGTTTAGTTACCAATGTTCTTTAGAAAAATAGCAGATGGAATATACGGTAACTTATTCTAGTAATACTGGGATGTTTTTCCTTGTTGCTGATTTATTTTGTCTAGGGAAGTAGTTTTTCTGTGCTGGTGCATGGTACATTTCTTGATAGGGCCACATCCACACTAGAAGCAGTTCTGTAATATAGTGTAGAAGTACTCCTGTACTGGTAAGCTCCTCCTTGAATGAAAGTGGCTTAAATTATTTTTATACTGCGTTGTTGTTATCATAGTTATGTCACTAATTTTAACATTGCTGAAAGCAGAAGTTTCTAAATGGCAAGATAAGCAGCCAAAATGATGAAACTAAAGGTTTAAAAAAGTTCAAAACTGCAGTGAGTCCCAGTGAACTACAAATGCTTCATATCTAAAATAATTCTTGTGAGTGACTTGGAAAGACTACCAGCAGAATATAAGAATGTTATTTTAAATTTTGATGTGCTTGTTCTTCATTTCAGGAAGAATCATCCAAACCAGCAGGAAAGAACAAAAAGATAAGGAAGGACAACAAGAAGAGAACAGAACACTAATTTACTAATTTATTTCTAGAAACTATAAAAGATTACTTTGCACATATTTATAGAAAGGAAACATGGACATTAATGCCTTATGAAATACAAAGTTTTGTATTCAAAAGGGAATTTAGTAAAGCTATATCTATTTTTTCATCTTGTTCCGTGATTTCTTTTGCTGTTCTATAGTAGAACTTAGACACAATCTTTTTTATATTCTTGTACTATTTCCTCCCCTCAGTGATGGCTGACTGATTTAAAGTGCAGATTGTTTACCCACTGCAGAGTTCAAACTCAAACATCAGTCTTGTGTTAGAACTTAAATTCACTAGTTTGTTGTGTTGACAGTGAGACTGAAGTTATTCAAAGGCCGACATCACTTATGAAGTTTAAAATTTTCAATACCTAATAGTAAAACTAGTGGCCAGTGCTGTATGGCATTAATCCTGCTTATGCAGTTCTCATGCTAGTTATCACCTGCCTGATGACACAAGGAAGGAACGTGAGTGATGAATAAAGAAATGGAGGAATTTCTTCAGTGTTTCTTTGAAGATTTTACTCTAAGTAGCAGACTTGCAGAACTTGTTGAAAGCTTGAAGATGAAGTGTTGTGTAACTAAAAGAACCAATGATTTCAACAAAGGATAAGTGGATTTTGAAATCAGACTGTTACAGCTAGTCATAAACATCAGTAAACATTCTGAAATTAGTTCTGAAGATGGGGAAAAAAAAGATCAGAAATGGTTGGATTTTCTACTCATGTGTAAATAAATAACTTCCACTCTTTTCTCTAGAGAGAAAATTACCTAGACTTTGTCAGCTGATTTTCGTATTGCAATTTAGTTTTTATTAATTTTTATTTTTATTTTTTAAAATAGTTTTGATTTTTTTTTTTTGTATCTTTCACTTCCAGAGGATGAAATTTAATTATCTGTTTTTTCTCTTTTTTTTTTTTTCTTCCCTCAAGTTGATTTCTCAATTTTGTGATTCATTAATATTGGCATTTGAGTCCCAGATATGTTCTTAGACACACCTGATATATTTTACTTATATATATAATTACGTCAGAGTGGTGAGTGTTTTTAATGACATTTCATTGGCAGTAGAAACATAATTTAAAGGTGTGTTTGTAAGACTAGCTTATTTAATCATCCATTTTGTATACACCTTTTGCCTGGTATATTTTTCCACTCAATTGTTCATTGCAGCTGTTCAGTATGGATTTCCCAGAAAGCTTTGTGTAAGGCAAACTTCATCTAACTAAACTAACTACTCCAGAGTTAGGTATAGCAACAGAAATATTCCTTAATGATTCCGGTACCTTGAAAAGTACAACTAAAATATGCAGTTTAAAAACAAACAAACTACAAGGATGTTATCATAGACTTTCTAGCAGCTGGATCCTGATCTGTTCTGTTGCAACAGTTTTTTGCAGTTCTGTTACCTCATCTGCCTTTTGAAACTCTTTGGGTTCAACCTTAACATCTGTACTTGCTATACCAAAATAGCAGTCTTCCCAGTGAAGGAATAGCATTTATTATTATATGTACCAATCTTGACACTTTTTGAGTCATGGAAGTAGTTGTCCAAAGTTTGTCTTATTGATGAACTCTTCTGGAGTCAGAATGTTGCCACTAGCATATTGACCTGTGTTCAAAAGTTTCTATTGCTTTTACGGGAGTGTGAAATTGCTGCAGTTACTTGGTGTGGAAAACAGGTGAGTTGTGAGATGTTCTGCTGCCATAGATTCAGTTCTACCTGTGGTGGAACTGTGGCAATGTATGGCCTTTTTCCAAAGAGTACGCAGAACCAATTTAGATTTAGGAAGTCTCAGCTTTTGTGTGTTCAGCTTGAGATTTCTAACCACTAAGTGTTTTTGTTTTTTTTTTTTTAACCTTCTGGCAATTGCTGTCCTATCCCTTGTCTTCAAGAACCTCTATTTCAGTGTTGCATGATGATAAAACCCCAAATCCCAAAATGGGAGAAATAAGTTGTTAACTGCATTGTAAGTGTAATAAGCCATATAGATCATCCAGTCAGTGAGCAAAATGAGTGTTCTGTGACTTAAAATTGTGGTAACAGACCACTGAAAGCAGGTTATCAGAATGGAAATGAGCATTTATTTTCACTGTGCTTCGCTCAGTGGGAACATGGCTAGCTGTCCTGTGGACATTTCAGTGAGAAAAGGTGCAGCCTCTTCCTTTTTTGTGTGTGCAATTTCCTTTATTCTAAGAATGTTTTCATGTGGCTTTACAGAAGAGTTTTGCAACACTGGATTTTGTCCTTAGAAGGTAGGCCTCATGATCTTAAAAACTGCAATATTTCTTCTTTGATTATTAGCTGTGTTTCATGGAGGCTGTATCCTACCGCTTAGCTGAATACAACAGTTTCTGCTTTGTAGTACAAGGATGTTAGAGTAGCAGTGGTATTATGTGGCATCAAAAATTTGGCTCTTTGTATTGAGGTTGAAGTACTGGAGGTATGTTAGTATGTTCACAGTGAGACTGGTACTGAGGGACAGAAATAACCTAATGTGCGCAGAGTAGAGCGGCAGCTAACGCATGCAATACATTTTGATCCTTACACTTTTATCATTGTGTATGGTGCAGCTGGCTAGTTAACACACAAACTAGAACCTAGCTTTTTAGAATTTGGTTTTTATGCTGCTGACAAATGACTTCTCGATTGAGGGTAGGGTCTTGAAGTTGTAGCCTCTGGTTTTTCTGATTTGCTTTTTCTGATAGATATGTGTCACTATTTTTGCAGGTTTCTACAGTGAAGCTCAGTTGAGCAGAAAAAGCAAAAACTGCTTTTGATAGCAGGAAAGCAGTGAATTTGTTCACTCAGTTGAAGTGTGCTGACATGAGGTTAGCTTTAGATAAAGCACAGCTTCCTCCTGTGCCAGGTAGCAAGGCTGGGATCAGCCTTTGCATTTGATAAGTTAAAGATCTAACTTGGGGGGCTTTACACAGAATCACAGAATCACAGAATCACCCGGGTTGGAAGGGACCCCAAGGATCATGTAGTTCCAACCCCCCTGCCTAGCAGGGCCACCAAACATACGCATTCAGATCAGGTTGCCCAGGACCCCGTCCAACCTGGCCTTAAACACGTCCAAGGACGGGGCATCCACAACCTCCCTGGGCAGCCCGTTCCAGGGCCTAACCACTCTCCTAGTAAAGAACTTCCCCCTAACATCCAACCTAAATCTTCCCTCCTTCAACTTAAAACCATTTCCCCTAGTCCTGCTGTTATCAGCCCTTTTGAAGAGTTTACTCCCCTCCTGGGTGTAGGTTCCCTTCAGGTATTGATAGGCTGCAATGAGGTCACCCCGCAGCCTTCTCTTCTCCAGGCTGAACAAGCCCAACTCCCTCAGCCTGTCCTCATAGGGGAGGTGCTCCAGCCCCCTGAGAGTAGCACAGCCCCCTTTACAGTAGCACAGTCTTCATGTTCCTGCTGAGTGTGTTATCCTAAATTGTGATATTGTGAACTTCTGCCACTAAATGATGTATTAATCTCGTCTATCAATGTAAACTATGAGAATTCAATATTTTCCTGCAAGTTAAGGATTTGTAAATAAGGATCTAGAGGAACATGTTGAAAAATCAATTAAAGCAGTGTAGGACATAGTGTTCTTCAGTGCAGGACATGACTTGATTGGAAATTGGATTCTGTTGAATAACTTACGGGAGCTAGCAAGTGGGATCCAGCAAGGGAAAAGGGTTACAAAAGGGGCTTGAAATAGCTTTAATCTTAAAAATAATGTCCTAATGAAATGTATAATGTTAAAGTGAAGCAGCAGTTTTAACAGAGTGATTTTGTTGTCAAATACTGTACATTTATTAAGGAAAGTGTCGGCTTTATATGTATTCCCCAGTTGTGGAATAGTTAGAAGTTTCATTAGCTAGAACAAAAGAAGAAAAAAAATATTCTATGATAATGAACTGTTAACAGTGAACTCTGTTTTACTGGAAATGAATCAGAAGTACAACTGAAACCTGATGAGCTATTACAGGATCCCTGTCTCCTTTGAGGTGTTATCAGAATGTCTTATTTTGTCTTTGTTGCTCAGACTTAAGTGAGTGGAACAAGAGGTGAAGTTTTTATCTGATTTGTCTGATCACGTTGTTTTGTTGGCAAAGTGCCTTCTGAAGAAGTTCCAGTTGATTTCTCTATAAAAGAAAATACTCTAGGGGAATAACATTAATAAATTCAAGACAGTTTAGAAATGGAGAAGAACTGTCATTTCTGCTAGAAATTGTGGTGGCACAGAATATTTCTTCTAAATTTCCTATCATATATATATAGAATGATTCCTCACTGAAGTATGGAAAGGTCAGCTTGCACCTGCAGCTTTCTAAAATGAAGACCTCTGTATCAGCAGCAGAGCAATTTTGAGCTGTTTGTGATTTCTCGGTCTGATAAAGTCTAAACATTTCAGTGGTGGGGTGGTTAGGGGTGGTGCTTTTACTGTTTGCTGTGCGTTATTGTTAAATGCCTGGGGAAGAAAGAAGGGAAAGTGGATGCCATAACTTTTGTTTATGGATCCTTTTGGTGTATTTATCTGTGCCTGTTTGTTTACTGTCTAGCATGTCTGTTTGAATAGAAATTGCCTATCCCTTTTTTATAGGATTAGCATTGAACACATGCTCCTTTGGCCCCAATAGAAAATCAGATGTTTATGCAGTACCCACTTCAGGTATTTTTCTAGCAAGACGAGTTTTCCCAACTGGTTTAATCATAGTTAGTCACATATGTGGAAAAAAAAAAAAAAGTCTGCCAAAAGCTCATGTAGTGTGTCTTCCATTAAACCTCTTGTGTACTTTCCTCCAGGAGACATGACTATGCAGTTTATGGCACCCAGTCATGAAGGTGTGAAGCAGGTTGATTGTGCGCAAGTGAGCTGCACTGTGTTCAGTGCTTCCTCCCATGGGTTGACTTAGAATGCATGGGGATGGGCTGTTGCCCCATAATAAGGAGGTGAGACTGGTGAAAAAGGCCTGGTCATGTTACGTATAAGGAAAGGGAGAGTGAGTATAATTGGGATATGCTAACAGTTTGCATAGGATCTGTGATTTGTCAGTAAGCATGACGATTTCCCTGCTGTACTCTGGTTTAGATCACACAGGAGTTACCCTCCTTTAGAGGCCTACAGGGCTCAGAGGCCCTGTTATGCCTTTTCTTAATCAGCAACCTGCAGGAGCAAAAACAGTGATTTTGTCAGACAAAATGAAAATAAAGTAGTTGAACATCACTTTTGGGTACTGTATCAGTGCCTGGAGCCACGATTCACCAGAGGTACGGGGAGCACACCAGCAGAACATTTTGCTGTGTCCTTATCCTCTTCCTTAGGCTGCTGGCTGCTGAGGCAGACAGGAGACAGAGTTAAATGAACCCTAAATTTGACCTCAATTTTCTTTTCAATATCTGAGACATCAGACTTCGTATCAGCCTCGATACTGCTAGTAGAAGACAGGCAGCAACTACAATCTAATGCATAAATCTATAGAACAGCCTGAGTTGGAAGGGCCCTGCAAGGATCATCAAGCCCATCATCTGGCTTTACACAGGAATGCCATTAACCTAAGTGTGTTTTCTACATTTCCAATGTAACCTGGTAAGGAGATTAAGCTAAAAACAGAAATAGTTGTGCATGCTGTGTAGTTATGTGTACAGATAGCAAAGTTTCTGTACTTTTGTGCTGTTACCATTCAAACATTCAGCACAAGTGCTTTGCAAATGCTAATGAATTTGTTCCCACAACAGAAGCACAGACATGATGGCCAACACTTTTCAAATTTAAGTGTCTAAACACTAAAGTGTTTTTAGAACCTGTAGTAAATATGATTCATTTTTTTACAACTGTGTTCTGCTTATAGCTCTCTGCAAGTGTCTTCATTATTTCTACAAAATTTAAGTGCTGAAGACTCATGATTTCTCTCACCAATGTGGAAGGAGAAGCCTAGTCAGAATCACAGAATCACCAAGGTTGGAAAAGACCTGCAAGATCACCCAGTCCAACCATCCACCTATCACCAATAGTTCTCACTAAACCATGTCCCTCAACACAAAATCCAAATGTTCCTTGAACGCCTTCAGGGTCGGTGACTCCACCACCTCCCTGTGCAGCCCGTTCCAGTGCCTGACCACTCTTTCAGAGAAGTAGTATTTCCTAATGTCCAGTCTAAATCTCCCCTGGCGCAGCTTGAAGCCATTCCCTCTACTTCTATCACCAGTTACATGAGAGAAAAGGCCGACCTCCAGCTCATTACAGCCTTCCTTCAGGTAGTTACAGAGAGCAGTAAGGTCTCTCCCGAGCCTCCTCTTCTCCAGTCTGAACAATCCCAGCTCCTTCAGACGCTCCTCACAATGCCTGTGCTCCAGACCCCTCACCAGCTTTGTTGCCCTTTGAACCCGCTCCAGGGCCTCAATGTCTTTCTTGCAGTGAGGGGCCCAAAACTGGACACGGTACTTGAGGTGCAGCCTCACCAGAGCTGAGTACAGGGAGACAGTCATTTCCCTGTTTCCTGCTGGCAACACTGTTCCAGGATGCCACTGGCGTTCTTGGCCACCTGGGCACACTGCTGGCTCATGTTCAGCTGAGCATCAATCAATACTCCCACGTCCACTTTCTCTACGCAGTCTTCCAGCCACTCCGCCCCAAGCCTGTATCATTGCCTGGGGTTGTTGTGGTTGAAGTGCAGGATCCAGCATTTGGCCTTGTTGAACCTCATCCCATTGGCTTCAGCCCAGTGACTCAGCCTGTCCAGATCCCTCTGTAGGGCCTCGCTACCCCCAGGCAGATCCACACTTCCAGCCAACTTGGTGTCATCTGCAAACTTACTGAGGGTGCACTCAGTGCCCTCATCCAGGTCATCAATAAAGATATTGAAGAGGACAGGCCCCAGCACCGACCCCTGAGGAACACCACTCGTGACCGGTTGCCAGCTGGATTTAGTTCCATTCACTACCACTCTCTGAGCCTGGCCTTCCAGCCAGTCCTATTGAAGTTAATTGCAAAACTCCTGTTTACACTATTCACAGTCACCATTTCTGCTCTGAATTCTGGGGTGGTATCAACGTGTGTCCCTCAGGCTGCAACAGGTTGTTTTGAAATTGATTTCTGAGCATTGGATCGTTACTGGTTAGCTGGTCTGGTAAGGGACTGTGCATATGTTTATACTCAGGGTACCAGCTTTCAGAAGAGGAAGGAGAACTGCAACAGCAAAGTGAACCACGCCTTTGGTCAGCAAAAACATACCACAGACTTGTTGAAATACAATGACATTAGGATGAAATTAGAAGTGGAAATAAATCAAATTTTCATAAGGGTATGAAGCTGAGATTAAGAAATGTTTTCCTGAAATAGTTGAGGTCTGTAACGATAATGAGCAAAACATTTCTGAGAGGAAACTAAGAGGAAAATGAGGGAGAGGAAAGAGAATCTTCTACCGGCCCTCATGATCTCAGAAGATAAGTATCAAGTTGCATAAACAAGAACTTACATTTCAAAATATGAGCTTTGAAATACTGCATATCTCATTCTGGTAACTCTTCTACAGATGCATGCGGTTACAGATGTGTTATTATTTATTACAATTTTTAAAATCTTATGAAAAACATTTACCTGTTATCAGAACCTCTCAATTTTTTTCCTCTTGACTCAATTTTTTGGATGCCTACTAGCCTTTTCATCTCAGCTGTTATGAATCTCAGCCTTCTGGACAGTGGAAGTTTCTTCCTGGACTGAACTGACCTGGATGCTCAACAACCACAACAGCACAGCCGGAACTCCATGCATGATGGGACCCTGTAACGGGACGCTGTCCCCACAGCCAT